TTTCCATAAAAAGCTAATTTTTTTTCCATTCAAATAATCAACGGCCATTTTGTTGGCTTGTTTTGTTTTTTTCCCTCAATCTTAATTTGAGTAGAGCATCTAGAATTATCTCAAAGTAGCGAGGGGTGATATTTTCCCGAAAATTAGAAAAACTACCCAAATTTTTTTGTTCGACCAAATTCATTTTCCGAGCGCTCCCAGAACTTCAAAGGATCCTGTTTGACAAAACTTTCTGTGCCGCAGGTAGTTTTTGTTTTAGAGAAACAAGTCAAAACATTAATGGAAACATAAATTTTGTTCTCATCGACTTTGTTCAACCCTAAGTCGGAATATGATGAAAAGTTTTTACGACCAATGATGAGAAGTTCTTACGACCAACAATGAGGACGGACATAGAAAGAAAGTTTTTTTGGTGTCCAAGCCGTGCACACGACTGTGCAGAAGTAAAGCGGGTCAGAATCCATTTGGCGGTTGATTTCATGACAATGGCAACGACCACCGGAGGAAGACATGTTCTTGTGGTGATGGACCTATTCACGATATAATCGATTACGGTTCCTCTGATGTCAACAGATTCTGTTGACGTGGTTCGTTTGGTAGTGGAGAATTGGGTGCTGACGTTTAGAATTCGCAAAGTCTCGCTTACAGATCAAGGAAAAAGTTTTGTTGACAAATTGATCCCAAAGATATGCCAACTTTGGGTGATAAACAATAACCAGACTTTTCTTTAGAAATCAAAAAGTAAAGAAAAGATGGAAAGGCTCAACGAAAAAAAAGGCGGATAATATTTCGGAGTTTTAAGCGGCTAATCGAAGGAGGCACACATTGTTGCATGTTTGAAATCGACCTACAAGACGACGATCAATTGGATTACGTGAGTTACGCCGTTTAAAATGGAGCATGAATTGGAGTGACAGTATCCAGTTGACCTTCAAAATTAGTGTATATTGGAGCCGAAAGCGCCTTTCAATAAGTTATAGGGTTGTTCGGCCTAAAATGGAGTTCATAAAATAATACCAAAGGGGGACCCTTTGGTTGGTGAGAGGGTCGAATCCCTGCGAGAGGGCGTCCGCTCTCTCCCCGCTCCCTCTTGATAAAATCTGTCGATGAACGTAAAAGAATACTCATAGCCTGAATGATTTTAAAAATTAATGTATCACTCAGAAATTTTTTAGCATGTCTTTTGATCAGATGTGTGTCGATCTTCTTGAAGAGGTTTAAATTTGGTGAGTTTCACAAATATTTCTTACGCTGTGTTCATATATCTATAAAAATGAACGAGCCTAAAGCGCATATATCTGCTTTTCCTGGGCTTTCCCCATCAAGTTCAGCGAAAACAAAATAAATTGTTCGGTTGTTCAGCCATAAAAATATTTGAAATTGCACTTATGGAAGAAGCTATTTGGCCCATTGGTTCATCGGTGGACTTAGGTTGTTGTTGACTTCCTAAGTTTCTTGAGCGGGATTAGAAGCGGTGTAAGTTAAACTGCGATGAATTAGAAAAAGTAGAGATATAAAATATATAATTTTTTTTTCTGAAATGTAACATTTTATGAAACATAACACGTAGCAACTACACTAAAAAGGAAATGAGATAATTTCGAACAAAATTGTAAATTTCATGAATAACCCCTCGAAAAAATCCATTATAATCGATTATCATCGATTATAATGAATTTTATTGGGATAAAAAATATTAGGCTTATAATCCATTTTTAATGGATTATAATCGATTATTTTGTCATTTTATAGATGCTGACCATATTATGACAATATAATCGATTATGATCCATGGGCGCTCAGCGCGGGTTGTCATTGAAATTGTTTTGTCGTTGTGTAACATTTGAAAAAGATTAAATTTAAGTTTTTTAGAGACTAGATGATTTATATAAAATCTGCAAGCAATCATTTCAATTATTGAAATCTTAATGTACAAAAAAACTTGTGCGTGTTTCTGCATGTTGTCTGTAACCGATTTTTTTTCTAGGTTAATAATTACTCAACCGTGAGTTTTGACTTGTGAATGTATATAAGTACGATGCTTGCAATAGGCTATTTGGGTTTTCAGTTTACCCCCCTACCCTTTAAACAACATGCAAAAAAAGAAATTGACAAGATTGTTGAACTTTTATTTTCTAGCTTTTGAACATCAAATCAATTCTGATTTTACAGCGTTTAACTCCAACCATCTTTTTTCCTTTAACTGGTACTTGTTTTTACCAGTTTTTTGCTTGACGCATTGAAGCGCAAGAAGATGCTGAGCATCCAATCAGCAGCACTTTTTCCTATCCACATTTTTTCACTGTGTATCACCAAACTACCATTTTTTTTATTCCCTTTACTGTTACACGTATTTTTTAATGTTGGCTCATTCCGCTGTTTTTCATCGCTTAGTTGAAAATCAGTCTTGGTGCGCCCGAGCATATTCTGTTTCTTAGATCATATGTAAAACAAAATATACAAATATCTACATCTTGAAATAATTGCTTGAATTTTGGGCGATGCTGAGAAATTGTAGTAGGTTCTAATTTTATGTTTTTTTTTCCTGAAGAACCCAAATGATCCTAAGAGTGCCACAAAATTGAGTTTGCTTAAGTTTTCAGAGAATCGGGTATGAGTGATTATTAAACGTTTCTGATTTTTAGCCAGTCTAATAATACATTTCCTGCTTAGGTGATTTTGAATGTGATAAATCACAAAAAAAAAACTCATTTTTATTTTTTTTTCTAATTTTTAGTTTTTTGTTTTTTTTTAGTTACTTCTGAAAATTCGTCGTTTGAAGTCATCTTTTCTACTTCTTGATTTAATCAATTTTTTGTTGTATCACAAGTGGTGCGAAGCTGTTTTGCCTCTGTTTAATCAATTCTTTTCAAAGATGACCGATGGATTTTTTTATTGCTGTTGGTTTTTTCAAAGATTTCATTTTTGCCGTTAATAAACGTTCTTTTTTGCCGCTTGGCATATTTGGGCTCATTTCTCAATTATTCAATCTCAAACATTCCAAATTCCAATACCATAGTTTTTTAAAGTGGGTACAATGTCGAAATGCATCATGCTACGGTGTAAAGTATGAAGAACAGTTCTGTTCAAAACAGCTAGTTTCATCACCATCTTTTTTCAATCTTTAAATTTACATGTGAAGGGGGACTGGAAAAGAGCTCAAAACTGAGTCTGTGTTTTGTTCAGCTTTAGGGGAGCTCGGAAAACCTGCTCTTTTTCCTCCTCCAGCCCCCCCCCCCCCACCTCACACGAGCAGCAATTCTATTGTGTAACAAGTGGTTTTACAAGGTTAATTATCAAGACCAAATATGTTTGCCATGGCCTTGTTAGTCCGTATGCCAATTTTCATTACCATCGAAAATTGTGAACAAAAAGGAGGGGGGGAGAAAAAGAGCCGGAAAACCATGTTGGTTTTGACTTTTTCCATGTGTGTTTGTTTTTGGGGAACCGTTTAGTGGTCGTTTTAATTTGATTTACCCACGTGTGTCTGGGGCTACTATGACCTGAAGCTGTTAACAAATAAGACTACTAAAAAGTATGAAAGGTTGGAGCAGTCACAGTCTCCCTCGATAGGCTTTCATACATTAATTTTGAAAAAATCAAGGAGGACTGGAAAAGAGCCAAACCTTGTTGAAAACATCATGACTCTTTTCCACTCCCCACATTCAGGGGCGGATTTTCAAAAAAATCGATAATTTTGACGACCTCATCACGAGGCCAAACTGTGCATTTTGTGAATTGTAAGCAGATTTCGCAACAAAGACGCTACCTTTGATCTTCTTCTGTTCCTTCATTTTACAGGAGGCACTTAGCACAGGAGGCACTTTATACAGGAGGCACTTAGCACAGTGGTAAGGCGTTCACTTTGAAATCGTCAGATCGTGTATTCGATCCCATGCCATGGCAATGATAGTGAGTGTGGACACGCTCTCACTTGACCTCCAGCTTCAGGTCTACCACAACCTGACCAAATTTGGCTGCAATAGTGGTACCACGTAAAAAGTTCTAGACGCAAAAAAAACGGCCTTGAGTCGCAAAAAAAACAGCTTCGCTCAGCAAAATAACACTGTCTGGAATGTGGGGAGATAATACAAATGGACTATCCTCGACAAGACTGTTAAGGCCTACTGATAGCTCCTCTGCGATTCGCAGGAACTAGAATTATTAATTATTTTCTTTAATCGCTCCGATGAAATTTTAACCGCCTCCTCGCCGTCACCCCCCCCCCCCCCTAAATCCGCTGGTTGGTGTCCGCATTATAATTTCAGTTTCGAAAAACTAATTTAACGTTGCCACAATGTAATGGAATTTTGCATGGAGAGCAAACTAACTTTTGTGAACAGTTTTTTTCTTCGTACATTACATCGTGCATCGCGCATTCAGTCATAAAAGTTGATCTGAGTTCGATTTTTTTCAGATCTGAATTATCCAAAAAATCAAAATTACAGAACTTATATCTGAAATAACACATTCTTAAAATATCCAAGCGGGCTCTTTTCAGTGCCCCCTCACCCTCGTAAAACTATAAAAAGCTGTTTACAAATTCCACCCCCCTTCGTAAAATTTATCACATAAAAAGTCATTTTCTGACAACTTTTATATATTGAATTTCAGGGAAAATCAAAGGTGGGAACTGGAAACGAGCCAGGTTCTCTTCCAATACCTAGTACATGTTTTATCTCAGATCTTATTGGGTTGTGAAATGTTAAAGTAACGCTTGGACTTGGAGGCTCCTTTCCAGTTTTCACCCTTTGACTTTTTCTGAAACGACATTAAAACGTGTTGGCATGAACAGCGAACAAATTTTTACAACATTTCTTTCATGCAAATTGCTTTGCAAACAATTTTTGAACAGCTTTTTTTGTAATCTCACGAGTGGAGTGCGAAACTGGAAAAGAGCCCAGAGCTTATATGAGGCCTTCACTTTAATTACTTGGCTTTAAAAAACTACTAAAAATAAATTCTACAAAAATATATAGACAAAGTTAGATGAAATGTTTTCAGATGAAGCGCACCCACAAACAACTGAATATGCACAAATAAGGCTGCATGAATTTCATGTTACATGAGTTTATTTCTAGAACATTCGATGACAATTGTGTGACGTCACATGTGTTGAAGAATGGTGCAATGTCAAGGTCAGCTTTACATTTCCACACATTCCAATTGTCCATCTGAGAAACTTCCTGAAAATTGGAATCAATCATAATTATCGAGTCGAACGAAACTTTTTATCCGCGAAACGCATGAAAAACGGGTTCGCAGATCAAGTTAATTTAATGTCGCTGAAATATACTTTCTTCTTATGTTATTTAAATCCATTAAAGTTTTATTTCTTGACTTGCATCTTTTTTAGGTCTTGACCATACTTAAAATTTTACTATACTTAAAGCTATATGAGCTCATTAAACACATCGACATCGCAATCGCAAAAAAAAAAGTTCAGTTCGATGAACTGAAAGTAGAATGGGTCTATTTAACTATCCCCCTAGTAACGAATTGCCTATAAAGAAATAAGTCAATAGTTAAGCATATGAAAATTTTGCCTAGTAACGAATCTCTCCCTTTTGCAGGGGGGAAGTGTGAAATCAGGGGCGAAATTTTGACGACTTTTTTTTAGGTCGGCCAAATTGATTTTCCGAGCTCTCCTAAAGCAGCAATAAGACGCTGTTTTGGCCAAAATTTGCGCGCCGCAGGCAAATTTTTGAAAAAACAGGTCAAAAAGCGGTTTTTGGGCACTTTTTGGCAAATTTTGGCGCGCCCTCCCCCTCACAGTTAGTATATATTGGCACCAAGGGCACCTTTAGAAAAATTTTAGGGTCGGTCGTCCAAAAATGGATTTCTTAAAAAGTACTAAACCAAAAGGTCCCCCGCCCCCCTAAATCCACCCCTGGGTGAAATAGTTAAAGAGATCCAGTATAAGAACCTGAAAGTTAGGAGAGCCTATGTCCAGTGCATTTTCCACTTCCGTCTTCCAGTTGGTGTAAAGAGGGGGTCGGAAACTGCAATGGTTCTCATTCAGACCGGGTTTTAGAAGTCCGAAGTGCTTTGTGTTCAGAGTGAAACTGAAGCATGTACCACTGTCTTTTTAGAGGAAGAATTAATGTATCAGAATTCGTTTTTAAATCACTATCTATTTATAATAAATTCAAACAAAATCGAAGTTGGAAAAGTTAATCAACGAGATCAGCCAAACTAGCGTAACTTCGTGACTTTTCCCATTTTCAGGAAGATTTTTGTCCCATAAACTGCAAACCGACTTAATCGTAGACGTTTTGAGGTTCAGAAGGAGCAGCAGTTTAATCAAACAGTCTAAAAAACGCTGATTGACAAAAACAATTTATCAACACCTGTGCCCTGCGGGTTTTTGCAAAGTAATTCCCTCTCAAGATAGGGTTGTCAATTCCAGCAAGGAAACGGGATCGAAAAGTTTTCTAACTGGTTTCGATATTTCTTGCACCACAGTAGCTGTTTTTCAGAGAGACCATTAATGGGATTGCTTCTTTCTAATCATTTCAAAAAACAGACTTCGTGGACAAACCTCCTCTATGCTTTTTTACATTATTTAAACAAATGAAACAATGAAAATTTGACAAATACATTGCTGTTGAAATAGCTAGGATTACATTTGTATCAGTTTTTCTGAAAATGCTGAGCATCATACTTGGCAATGTTAAAGCTACTATCTATTTTTTCCAAAAAATAACATGCCTAAATGCGGTTGTTTCTAAAATTTAAGCACCACAGCAGCATGAAATAAGGTTTGCAATTTTTTAAGCTCTTTCAAGGTTTTCAACATCAGAAATATCATTTCTGCTGAACAAAATTAAAAATAGTTTACTCTAGCGTCGAAACGGCTTGTTTCACAGAGGGTCAGAAAAAAAAACAATTTCTGTTTGGAAAGACTATTTACTTGGCCAAAATTAGATGTTTCAAGTTTTATGGAAATTAACCGATCAAAATATATTGAAATGATAATATTCATTGCGGTGCTTAACTTTCGGACTTGACCGCGTCTTCGCTTTTTGAATTCTGAAAAACTGGAAACTGAATTTCTCATTTTTGGATCACAGCATTATGAGGCCAAACTGTTTATTTTGTGAATTGTTAGCGGGTTCAGTAAGAGGTCGAAAGTAGATATGTCGTGGAATTCGTAACTTTTTCTATTAAAGAGTTTTTTTACTGATTCCACAATTACATAGCTAAAACACTGTTTTGCTGAAAATTGCAACAAAAACAAGCGAGTTTGGGGTATCCGCAACAATTTTTGCGGAAACCGCGACACAAAGAGCAGTTTGTTCGCTTGGGTTATTCAAATCTGTTCCTATAATTGGACCATAATTATTTTCATACAACAAGCGTTGTTTTCTTTTTTTCTCTCTCTCTTTCTCTCTCTCTCTCTCTCTCTCTCTCTCTCTAAATATATATAGCCGTAAAAAGAACCAACGAACATACTTTATGAACGCACTTTATGGCAATGTTGTGATTTGTTCAACTAAATTATAATTACCTTATTGTTTGGTTATGTCCGACCTTGAACACGCACACTTCTCTGAAGTGAAATTGTCAGCGTTTCATAGAGTAAATCATTTTTTCTCCAGGTCACCAGAGGAATAGATATGTGTAGTTACTTACCTTTAGTTAGCCTTTTCAATTTCCCCAAGTCAGGAAAGTGTTGTGGTTTGTTCATTTAATTTATAATTACCTAATTGTTTGGCTATGTCCGACCTTGAACGTGCCCACTCCTTTGGAGTGAAACTGTCACCATTTCATAGTTCGCATTTTATAGAACATGTTAATACAGTTATAATTCGTATTTCTTTAAATTAGTTTAATATAGCTTAGTTTTTCAAGGGCACATTTTTTTAGATATATGACAAAAAAAATTTATGACAACACATTATTCGTTAACTAAAAATCATCGTTGGGCAAATTTTTGTTTTTTAGGTATTAGCAGCTTAAAATGCGTTAAACGATTTTTTCATATTTTTGTTTATTTTGTCAAGGACGCTTTTCGCTGAAAATGATGAAATCAATTTTTTGTAGTTTTTTTTACAAAAGTCCTCTGCAATTGAGCATCTGTTTTTATAAGCGATCGAACTTGTGTAATAAAAAGTGTTAGAAGTCCCTTCATGAAAACAAAAGCTACAGGCGGTTCCTCCGCCGTGAAAACAAATAACTACAAATTTAAAAAATAGTAGTTTTGAGTCCTTGGCAGAAAAACTTACTTGCTAATTTTTTTTCAAAAGGTACTTTACTTGTCTTTACAAACTGCTTCCCATTATCGAGCTTTTTTCTTGATGCGACCGCAATACGAGAGGAACTAATTATTCAAGTCGATTTCATAGATAAATAAACATTTTTTTTGTAATTTTTAACCAGGGTTTGATCAGCGGCTCTCCGTTAAGAGCTGAACAGCTCGTACGTTGGTTCTTTCCCTTGTGGATAAATCATCCTAACAGATTATTTCAATGCCAAATCATGTATCTCAAAAAAACATCATATCAAGTCTCATCATATATCTTGTAAAAGCCATTACAGTCGTTTTTGATCAGTTTTTTTTGAACGACCAAGCTGTAAAGCTTACTTAAAAATGCCAATGTCCACAACATTTTAGAAGAGAAGTACTGATAGGAACGTTCAGAAAAACTGGCTAAAGAAGGTCTTTATAGAAATTTGCGAGAGTTTGAAAAGTCAGTTTAAATTACGAAAGGCAGCTCCAGACTAGGAAAAACTTTTATCAACTCTTGCAACCCCCCACCCCACCTAGAAACTAAAGAATTGAACGGTTAAGCATATACGAATTTTGCACCTTGTTAACTATTTCCGCGGGGGAATCGTTAGCAAAATGCGAGTATTCAAAAGTTTTTGTTTCCTACTACTACCAAAGCCAGACGAAGGTCGGACTGATTTGGTTTCTGGCCCTTAATATTCTTGAGTTTCTGGTTCACCGATTTGAGGCACACTCATTTTGTGAAGTTTGCTTTCGAGCAAGCCTTTTTTTGCAATTGACGTTTTTTTGCGATGGTTTATCAGTAAAATTTGACTAGTGTTATGTCAGAACTTGGAAAATCGCGCCGCATGTCAACCCAAGACCCAAAATTGTACCGTTCTTTGAAATCGAAGAAAGAGACAATTTTTTATAAGCACTAAATCATAACTCTGAAGAGAGAGGTAATAACTCTGTTGAAAGGATTGTTATCAGGCTCACTCACAAGCAGTTGTCTTCCCTCTGAGTGCAGTTGACCTGGATGATGAAGTAGAGGTCGGGGTCATTCGCCCCCGAAGTGCCCTCTATGACCCCCCGACCCCTGTGGTGACACACGACGACGTAATCTCCCACTGCCGCAAAGCAGTCCAGCAGACGGTCGTCTCCAAAATGTAGGAAATTGTCTTGATCCCACATTTGCATCTAAACATATGCCTCATCAATATTATTGATCTAACAAGATAAAAGATAAATTTTTGATCTTTTTTTCTAAAGAACACAGTGGCGTGCGCCGAAATTTTGCGGACTTTTTTTTCAGGTCGATTAATTTGATTTAATGGGCTCTCTGAAAATACTATAAGGACCCAATTTAGTCAAAAATTTTCTGCGCCGCAGACGAATTTTTCAAAAAGTAGGCCAAAAACGGCTTTTTAGGCCCTTTTTGGAAATTGTGCTCCCCCCTCAAAATTAATTATATTGGCGCCAAACGCGCCTTTAGAAAAATTTTGAGGTTGTTCAGCCAAAGACCCTTTGGAAATATTTGGCAGCCAGAATTGAGGGGGAGGGAGATGCGGTCGCTTCATCCCCCCCCCCCACCCCGGCAATCGGAAAGCTACTGTAGTTAATATATTTTAATTCAGTGGCGGATTTAGTGGGTAGGGGCAGAGAACGAAACCCACCCACTCGCCCATTTTCAGGGATTCGATCCCCTCACCACCAACCAAAAGGGTCTCCCGTTTGGTACTATTGCACGACATTTCTTTTAGCTGACCGACCCTAAAACTTTTTAAGGCGCTTTTGGCGCCAATGATTAATAATTTTGAGTGGGGAGAAAAAGCGCAAGATTTTGGTCGAAGGCTTCTAAAAATTGCCTAAAAACTTCCGTTTTCTTTCAGTTTGTTTTTTCAACATTTTCCCTGCGGTGATTACCAGCAGCAGATTTATGGAAGGGGGCTTATAATTATCTCGAAATAAGATCTCCAGAAATCCACCCCCTCGAAAAAATTCAAGGTCCGCGCAATTTTTCACTTTAGAAATTTAGAATATCAAATTTATAGCATTAACCTCGAGAAACTAGATGAGTCTAAAGATGTTTGGAAGCTTTTTTGGAACTTGAGGAACAGATTGGCAGATTTCTCAATGCGAGTGAAGTCCAAACTTGTTCATGCAAAATGGACCAACAATTTCAGAGAGTTTTTACCCCTTTTCTTTTTTTTCTGTTTCCTTTTCATCACTATTTAAAAGTTACGCTATAAATTTTCATTCAGCGAAATTGCTTTGGCGACTTCACTATTGCGTGCTGCTGATAACTTATGCTTACTTTTGATTGGTCAGAACAAAAACTCATCTAGCCAATCAAATTCCTGTTTCATTGTCGTCAAATACAAGGACATACCGCCTGCACATATGGGAAGTATTGTCCGCACAGGGTGACCTTGAGTATGAGATGGACATGGTAGTCCTCAATGGCACTAGTGTACACACAGTCGAAGTCATTCGGGTCATCACAGGGTACTTCTACAGTTGATGAGTTATTTTTTTTCGGATCCACGCAGGAAAAATCTAAAATATGTATATATAATAATTAATAATTGTGGTTTTAGGGAGAGGACAGAAACAAACGCTCTCCCCACCCACCCCCTCCTCCCCTCAGGGATTCGACCCCCTGCCAACCCAAAGGGTCTCCCCTTTGAAATATTTTCAGATATCCAATTTTGACTGACGGACCGTAACGGGGGAGCGCACGCCAAAAAACGCACTTTTTTGGTAAAAATTTTCCAAAAAGTGTCTAAAAACGCCTTTTTGCCTGTTTTAAATTTCTAAATATCAAACATTTATCAAAAAAATTCTTTGGTTTTTCAACCATGATCACCAACTTCTAGAAACCACTTATTGAAAAGATTGTGACTTTTCCGATTGAATATTTTGAAGTCATCTTCAACTTAAATCAGTTGTCGTCTGCTAAGTTCGGCATCAAAATTGAGATTGCTAAAAATGTTGAGTTGACTCAATTTGCAGATTCTACAAGCTTCATTTATACCGGAAAACAAAACACGACCAGACATTTAGAGACCTTAATCACTCAAACTTTTGACAAAGATCAAACTTACTTAGAAGATAATTGCTCAATGTAAACATAACAGAATTGATTAATTCTGGTAAGGTTGAAGACTACAGTCAAAGTATTCATTTTCATGATAATGATTATAAGCCTCAAAAATTTGTGGATAAAAATTTGAAATAAGTGAAGTGGCCAGCGGAATAGTATCTTGCTACCTAATACGACACAAAAAAGTTTTTAGATCAGAAGAAGTATGTTATTCAAATCGTTGGTTTTTCAGAGTTTTTGGATCTTGTTATTTTCCATCGAATTCGGTTTTCAGAAAACCAACTTTGGCTGTCACAATTTTAATGGTTAAGATATTTTTCAGATAATATATTTAACTAAAGTATTTAACGTATATGTATTATAATTAGTGATTAGTTTAAATATACGGGTAATTCCAATTAATTGATGACATTTTTGAAGTTCACTTTTTATACAGAAATGGTTGTCATAAATAAAATGTTGCGGAGGGAATAGTTAACAAGTTCCGATTATTTTAATGCCAAAAGTATTCAGATTGAACAGACAAACAAATTATGTTAGCGAATTATCGTTTTTTACGAAAAAGTTGGCCAGTATCATGTGAAATAATACTCAAATACAAATTATTTTCAGCAGCATTACTTACTTCAAAATTGACCAATTTAAAATAGTTTGAGCTAAAAAAAAAAGTACCTCAAAATTTAAAAAAAAAACAATAATTGATTAATTGGAAATTTCAAAAAACAATCTAGCTAAGTTTTTGAACAATACCCCTATCTAAAAGATATTGAAGCACATAGTAGAAGAGCTTTTACTAGAAGGCGAGGAAATGGTACCACCAATATCCTTTCTGATCTGATTCCGAGAAAGTATTCACTTATCAAAAAATTCAAGAATTTTTTTACCTTGGAAAAGCTTTGTATTTGGTTGTGTTTTAGTTTTTTTCCTCGCAAAATCAAGAACCACAAATAATCAACAGAAGTGTTCCAATGATATATCATCGTTAAGCCCTTTGAGTCGTGATTCGAATGACATTAAAAGATTTTCAAAAAGTTTTTCAAATGTCGAGTTGAATAATTTTGCGATTTAGTCTAATTTCCAGGGAGTGACGCGAGAGAATTGTGTTCTTTATTTAAATGCTTTATCTAGCGCGTCCTTAGGAATAAAAACTTTTGAGAAAATTTAAACCTAAATGGGCAAAAAATGAGAAAAAAAAAGAGATAACTTTGTTAGTTTTTTCATATTTTGAAGATGACTGTTGTCCATTTTGCCTAATTCCAAAAAATTATACGAGTTTGTTTATTTCTTTCATTATACTACCCACAAAAAACGACACTATATGAGGGAAGTTTTAAAAAGAACTTTTTTTGTTTTTTTTATTTTTGTGTTCGGAACATTCTGAGCTACATCATTTACAGCAACCGGATATCCTTGCTCAGTTTGTGATTGCTTAAATTTCTGCTTAAACTTTAGTTAAGATTTATCTATAAAAAAAAATTGGCAAGTTATTTTGATTAACTCATTTCTTATTGAAATTACGTTTTTGCAAAACAAAGACTTGGAAAAAAAGTAAATTTCAAATCATTCTACTAAATATCTTTTTTATTGCGCTTACTTGCCATTTCAACGGCTAGTAATAAAGATTTAATTTAGGTTCCAAGAAAACATAAAGAAGTTATATTTTGGAAAAAAAAAATCATTGGGATTGAGAGGTCTTGCAGAATAACGGAAACAATCAGCGCAGTTTTCATTGGCGCACAGATTAGTGCTTTGATTTTTTTCTGACATCCTAATCATGAGCAAAAAGTTTTTTAGGGTATTAAAACAATTTAACCTTGTACTGGTAGTTTTTTGAGGTGCCTTTGCGTGAAAAAGTCCTCCCAAGTCGAAGCTCCTCTGAGCTGCTCCATGGTTTACCATTACGAGTATCCTGTGGGAAAAGTGTAACTAGATTTCGTACAATGTTTATTTCCATATCTAAAATTCTAAGTCAAGGTGCTTAAAGAATTGTTTGAAACTACGAACAGCTGAAACATCTTTTTCAAAATTTATTTTGATCCTCAGAAGAAATCTTTCATTTTTTTAAATACCCGGATTAGTTTAGAAAAAATTCTGAATAGAAAAAATTTTGAAAAATTTGACGTATATTAGATATGAAATGTCTGTCTGTTCAAAGCAGTGGAGTGTTTTTTTATTTTGGTTGTTGTAGCTCTGTTTTACTCTGATTGAATAATGCGGCAAAAACTACGCAGAGTCTATAAAAAACCTATAAATTGCGTAAAATTATGTGTAGATGTAAACAATCCCCTGAAAAATAAATGTGTATGTTATTTGTCTAATTAGGCTAACAAATCCAGACTATTAAGTTTAACATTGCTCGACTTCAAAATACGCAGAAACTTAAATTTTCAAATTTTAGATCTATGACGCAATGGAGAAAAACTAAACTGTTGAAACCGACTTTACTGATACCGACTTTAAAAAAACTTGAAAAGCAAATTTAAAAATGTATTCGATAGGCAAACAAACTGTACAGCAAAACTTGGTTATACTGCTAAATTTTATTTTCTGCTAACTTCGATTTTAGAGTCTACGATTTTACAAAAACAGTTCCACTAATAGGAACGCCTAACGATATTTGGATTGGTTGAAATTCTTAAATCAGTCGATCCCTCCATTATAATAATATAGCCCCCCTCCCCCTATCAAGATAAAGTTTTACCGCAATTTAGTAGAGATTTCTAACATGAATCAGTTCTCGTGACAGCAATTAGGGCTATCAACCACCTACCGAACAAAATAAGGAAATTCGAAGTGGCCGCCCGAGATTTCTTGTTAACTTAACAGTAACAAACTGACGAACTAACATCAATTTTTTGATTTTTTTTGACAGATAGTTTTTTTTCAGAACAATCTGGACTGGTGCACATCAGAATCTTGTCAAATATGAAAAACTTTAAGAAAATCACATTTTTGACCCATTAGGTTTTCTCAAGGTCACTGACATTTTCAACGATTTGACACTAACTAAACAACTCACTTACTTTCATAAACGTAGTCGCCGTAACAGTTGCGAGTAGCTCTTATCAGAATTAGCAACGCGAGAGTGAAAAGCACGACAATAACACAGGAAACCACCTGGTCCTTGCTACACCTTTTCTGCTTGATCTTCTTGTTCTTGAAAACTTCGTTCCTTTCAAAATTGCTTTTCCCAGTTTGCGCGCCTGCTCCTGACTCGATGCTATCCATAGTTATTGTTTGCAATGTAATAAAGTTATTGTTTATTTTTTATGAAATTATATTGATTTTGGTGTGAAACCGCAGTTGTTTTTCAATGGTTGCCTGCCAACTGCATGAGAGCTTTGAAGTGGATGAAAATTAACCATGCTCTAAAAAGCGTTTCAATTGTTTATAACAACAATATGACATTTGAAAAACTTGCGACTTGTTGGTCAAAATATATATTGAAACAATCGATTACAAAAAATGTCAAAAATCGAGCCATTAGGAATACAAAGAGTACGTTAGTTTCAATAATCAAAACAACAAAATGGCGCATTTTTTCAGGGTCACACTTCACTTCAAGGTTAATGAAACTTGAATTTTGAATATTTTTTTATCAATTTTAATCCAAATTTAACATTTTAATCTAAAATTTTGAATAATTTGAATTTTGAATAGTTTTTTATCAAGTTGCATCCAAATTTTGCTAATTCATATATGTTTTTAGTTCATGCTTTTAGTTCAATATGCTTTTAGTTCATATTTTGCATTTAATTTAATTTTTCTTTTTATTCCAAATTTTGCATTTTAATTCAATTTTTGCATTTTAATCCCATTTTAAATTTCAATCCAATGGAGCCTACTTTCGAGCACATTTTTTGGGCAATTGGGCTCACTCGTCCCATTTCATGACAGAGTGAGCCAAATTTGCCTCCATCATTCTCTCTTGTGATAATTTACATCCGCATAGACAACTAATTTTTTTTAGAAATTTGGGCTCAATCATCCCCGGGCCGATGTCCGCGACTCATTTGCGACCAAAATGGGTCGCCGATAATGACTTTTGCGACCGAAATTTGGGCTCAATAAGAATTTTTAGAAAATTGGGCTCAATCATTCCCTGGCCGAGGTCCGCGACTCATTTTGCAACCGAAATGGGGCGACCAAAATTCCATCGTCCGGCAAGAGGCTTGAGTCGCACAAAGTCGCAACATAGCTAATTTGGGTCGCGCAAAGTCGCAACATAGCTAATTTGGGTCACACAAAGTCGCAACATAGCTAATTTGGGTCACACAAAGTCGCAACATAGATAATTTGTGTCGCGCAAAGTCGCAACATAGCTAATGTGGGTCGCGCAAAGTCGCAACATGGTTCGCCCTAAGACGCAACTTCGGTCGCGCAAAATAGCAACATCGGCAAATTAATTTTAAAATTTTTTTGACAAATTTTGTATTTATCCGACTCTCTTGAAATTAACGTTTCATCAAAAAAATTTCATTTTGGGGATAGAAAAATTCGTATTTTAGAGTTTTCATGTGTGAAAGTTGTATGCTGAGCAATTTTTCATTCGAAACGCCCAAAAATGAATCAAGGTTTTTTCTTACTTTTTGGATTGCAAACTCTGTTTTGTGCTCAAGCAAATATTTTTTTGCAAAAAATTAATTTAACAGCAAAACTTAACTTGGTGTTGTCTATAACATGGTTAACATTTAAATTTCAACAAAAGTCAAGAAATGCCATCGAAGTAATTTTGTGTAGCCGCAATTAACTTTTTCACTTTTATGTGTCACGATAAAGATAAATCTATGAGACAAACAGGTCACTATTTTAATAACTGACATTTTTTTTTTACAAAGTAGAAGGTTTCTAGCCTTAAAAAAACTTGAATTTCTTAAACATAATTCTTGTGCCTAATTAATTAATAAGATTAATGTACATGGGAAATAAGAAAAATCAGCTCACTGGTTTTCTTGAATGAGAAAATTTTCATAGTTGTGTTTTCGGTTGAAACACCAAATTTCAAACCGAGCTAAAATTGTATTTTAAAAAAGAAAAATGCTACTTATACTACTTCCATCTATTAAAAAAATGCTCGCTGAGTGAGTAGAAGTTTTGGTCAACAGTTTGGTCAGCCCTGTTTATGCCTGCATCCATTTACACTCAATTTATAAATCATAATGTTGAGATGAATTTTTAGATACAAAAGCGATCAATGTTGGGCTGAGACAAACAAA